AATCCAAACTTTTAGAACCAAGATTTTTTTTGATTGTTCTGCGTTTACTTCATTTATGTGGACAGTGCAGGATCTTGACAAGGTTGAATTCTGAAAAAGGTATCAAGTATGTTTACGTAGATGATTCAATGGAAGATATTGGTGAGATTCCAATTCTATTGGAATGAGATCACGAATTCCAATTCTGTTGGAATGGAATGACGAATTCCAATTCTGTTGGAATCACAGAAGTTGATGCTTGAAGAACAGACCACAAAATTGAAACGGACCATTATTCTTTAGAATGTATTAGTCGTTGTTAGATTTTAATGTTTTCTTTCCTGTTTTGATTGTTTTTTAGTTTTTATTCTTTAACAATAAATGTAATTCTTAACAATTGTTACCCGTATTCTATAAGATATAATGTATTTTTTGTTTTTATTCTTCAATTGATTGTTCAAGAATTTGTTATTCTACTAGAAGTTTTTAAATTCATGATCAAGAAATAGGTTCATAATATTTTATTATTTATGGTTCAACATATTTTTATTTTTGAATATACTCATAAACATATTCTGTCAGAATGTCCGAATAAAAGAATTATAATTCGTAAAATCGGATTTTTAAAATTAATAGAATCTATGATCCCTAAAAAATGCAATTTCCTTTATTAAATCTATATTAATTGACTAAATACCCTTGTAATTAATTAAGATGATATTTTCAATTACATTTAATTCAATAATATATATTAATCACTTTCTTAAAATAAGTAATTTTATTGGCCCACATTTATGCATACAATAACACAATAATTAATTTGAATATAATAACCTAAGCCTATATATATTATATATAATATATATATAATATATATATATCTAATATATATATATATATATATTATATATATATATATATATATAAGGAAAAGTGAATATATGTTACCACCCCACCTAACCTTAGGTACTAAACCTGATGTAGTCGTTTTATTAGCTAAGTATTTTCCTAGAAAAAAATATATTTTATGATTTTCTAACAAATTGTATCCTTCCTAAATCACTATGTGATTTCCTAAAACAAGTTTTTTTCAAAAGAATTTCTTGTCATTATTCATTGTTACATTCAAAGTGAATTATACTGAATTACTTGTCGTTTGTGATTAATACGTGATTTAAAGGATAATGGAATAAAGAAATTCTATGGGGATGATATATTTACCAAGTGAAAACCTAACCAGATATACTTACTAAGTTAAAAATACAAAGTTTAAATGTTTAGTACTTAAGCTTACGTGAGACTGTAATGTATATTCTTTATGCTTTTATATATATATATATATATATATATATATATATATATATATATATATATAGAATTCTATGGTAAATTAAAAGAATTATGTATATATATATATATATATATAATATATATATATATATATATATATATATAGAATTCTATGGTAAATTAAAAGAATTATGTATCTATTAATAATTTTGAGGAAAAGAAGTTGGTATATACTATTGGTTTTTAAATTTACAATACTCATTTAGAAAAAAAAAAGTTGGTATATACTATTAGTAATTTGTACAAATCATCCAAACAAGTTGGTATCGAATATACTTTCTCACGTATGTGTTGATGGCAAAAGTTTTGTACCGAGTGTAAGTGAAACGGATACGATCTTGGGAGGGAAAATGGTCTACTAAAAAATCCAAATATACAATCATCCTAACTTGCTAGAGAATACCTAATACCAGTTAGGTTTTAGGTCTTTAGGGGAATGTGGGCATTCTAGGAGCTAGCGATGCTGGGACATCTCTTTACTTTCTGGAAATTTGTTAATGAAAGATGGAGGGACTCTAGAAATTAGATTCCATGAACGGCGTTGAAATATATATATATAGTTCTCTTTTATAATTGCAATATCTAGTTCACGAACGTTATACTATAGGGGCTAGAAGTAGTATGTAGTTCAAACTTCTTTCTTATGTTTTGCTTTCGTGAAATCCAGACCCGGTTTAAGAGGGGGGCAAGTTGGTCCAGGACCCATATCAACTTGGGGGCCCCAATTTTATACCATATGTATTTAATAATAACTAATTAGTCTATAATGTGAAATATGCTCCAAGAGACTTGGTATGATCATTTTCTCATTTGATGAGGCACCCTCGTTCAATTCCCTGGAGTAGCAGTCTTTTTTACCACTAATTGACCCCCCCCCCCCCAACACACACACCTTTTTTTATTAATATGTGTAATCCGAGTTCAAAGTTTATTTCCCTGCAACACACCATCGATTATCGTACGGGTTCAATTATCCTTTTTTTCTTTTTCCTATTTTTACTTTGTTTTCTTTTACAATTATAATGTATATTAAAGTTATATCTAATAAAACATGAAAATAATAATAACACATAGTAGGCTAGATGGTTTATATGTTTGATTTTATTAGAATGTTATGCGATAGTATTGATTTTGACATTTTTTAAATTATTTTATTTAAAATTCATTTGAAGTTATTTACATATAATTATATATAATAACAATCTTTTGTAATAAATCACTAAATATTTTTATTTATGATCCGTAGTTTGTCTATCACCAAAATTCTTCGAAAAAAATTAACTTAGATATAATTATTATATAAATTTTGGTAATTTGAAGGGGCTTTTTTTTTTTTTTTTTTTTTTTTTTGCCCCGGGCATCAAATATCTTAGGACCGACCCAGGTGAAATCTATTAATATTTTTTCTATTTCCAACTTTATCAACTGCATACGTATCCACCTTATAATTATCACATAAATTTTATAATTTTTTTCAATGTATGGGTCACCCTTGCATATTCATACGTGAAAATCAGAACGTTTTAATAATAAAATGTGTATAATTTTCCTTCATGAATAAATCTATTCGTAACATAAACAAATGCAACAGCTTAATTTAATGAACACGTAAAAGCAAACTTTTAGCATGTATTTTGGTTTTTATAAAGTCAGCTAAAAGTTGTAAAGTTGAGGCTGATATGCATGATTTTTTTAATAAAAAGCTAACATATTTAAGTAGCAATAATGAATATTAGTGACAAACACATATGTAAATGATGAACGTCTTGGGGCATTTTAAGTTGAAAAAATAAAGTTTTTGCTTTCGCAAGAAGTTGGTATGGATAATGACTTACGATATTGCATAGCTAAAAGTGATAAAAATGTAATACTCATATATTTTAAGTAATTATGGCTATCAACTAGTTGTATTAAAATACATCCTATTTAGATCGAGTTCGTCGCACCTCAATTGATTAGTTGGACCCTCATTCTTTCACCAAGTTGGTTGTTGTTTAGGATAATGACTTAAAAGGGTAATTTATTTTTTGATTAATACAAATTTAGTCATTTGAATGTTTTTTGTCCATATTTTCTCATTGAACTTGTTGAACTGTTTAAAAAAACAGCCTTATGAAATGTTATCGACAGTGGCGAGTCTAGAACGTAAAACAACATGGTTCACTACTTAAATTAAACAAATATAAAATGAAAAAAAAAATCAACAATACTAGTTGTGGGTTCGGATCGGGTCGAGTCGTATAAGCCAAAAAAAGATTTAAAGTTCTTACAATTGTACCCGATGAGGAGTGTTGTGCCCAGTGGTGATCGTCGATTATGAAGACAAAAGTTGGAATAGAGGAGTGAAGACGAAACATCGTCCCCTAATGCCTCCTTCCGTTCACATGACTTTGGCTTCTTCTTTTTTTCTTCTAAGTTGTATTGGGCTACGTTTGCCAAAAATATTAGGGTAGTTTACTAAAAATATTTAGGGTAGGTCACCAATTTTAATTCTATGTACCTTATTATAAAAACTAAAAAAATAGGTGGGTCAAGTGACCCACCAAAGACATGCTTACCCTCGCCACTGGCTATCGGAGGTTTAGCCGGTTTCCGGCGTATTTGACAGCTCCAGCGAGGCTCTAATTATCTTCTCTGACGTTCATGGTTTTTCTAGCAAACTCAAGAACTCGAATCTATTCTTTCTTTCTATCTCTTTCTTAGATCTGAACAAATTTCGAACATAAACCCATATGGGTGTTCGATTTTCAAACTCAAGAATTCAAACCCATCAATCAATTCTTCATCTTCATCTTCTTCTTTTCAAACTCAAGAACACTCAAACCTATAAATAAATTCTTCAATATTCTTCATCTTCATCTTCTTCTGTTCAAATTCAAGAACACTCAAACCCATAAATAAATTCTTTATTCGTTATCTTCATATTCTTCTGTTTATCGTGTTCTTGAGATCTTTATCTCGTTCATCAGTTGTTCACTGTGTTCTTGAGTGCTTCTTCATATTTGTGTGTGTGTGTGTGTGTGTTAGATCAGAACACAAACCTAGATCTCCAAAAACTGAACACGAACCCATCAGTTGTTCATCGTGTTCTTAAGTGTTTCTTCTGATTTTGTGTTCATCTAATATGTGAAAAAACAACTATAAAAAAGATGCAGATGAAGAATGACTTAAAAGGGAGAAAATGGTGGCTTGGATTTGTTTCTCTCATTGGTTTGTGTTCATCTTATATTTGATGAACATGCAGCAGTAGGTGTTTGATTTTCAAACTCAAGAACCCAAAACACAAAAAATCTGATATTGGATGAACATGTTATAGCAGGTGGCCGGAAAATTCATGAACGTCGGAGTCTCACCGGAGAAGACGACCGGAGCATTATCGGAGTTGTCAAATACGCTGGAAACTGGCTAAACCTACTATTACAGGTCATAAGGACGTTTTTTTGAACAGTTCAACAAGTTCAATGGAAAAATATGGGAAAAAAAACTCAGTGACTAAATTTGTACAAATCAAAAAATAGATTAACTTTTCAAGTCATTATTATTATTATTATTATTTTTTGAGTAAATTACACGAATCGTCCCTCGTGCAGGTGTCAAAAGGCACGTTCAGTCCCTATTTTCAAAATTAACTCGGACCGTCCCTCGTTTGATTAAAAGTTGCACGTTTTATCCCTCGTTAGTTTAAATTTACACGCTTAATCCTTTGCGAGACATGCAATGACTATAATACCCTTTTCAATTTTATTTTTCATTTATTTTTAATGATTATACCCTTTTAATTATTAAAAAGTATTTTAATTAAAATTTTTGGACGTATTTTAAAATTTCTGTTTAAATTTGCACACTAACTTCGTTAACCACCAGCATCGTCAGAATTCTGAACCACCACCGGAAAAATGAAGCACCACCGGAAACCCCTCTTGACCGCCGCCACTGACCACCACCTCATTTCCCTACCTCTATTCATAAACCCAAAAAAAATGCATCAAAATAATCTCGAAAATCCTATATCTTTATGTAAACCAGAAAATATTTCCATAAATCCAGCAAACAATCCTGGAGGTGTCTTAGCGTGGCCAGAATGCTTACTAACCGATGAACTGAAACATGGGAAGTGTTCACCAAATGAATGATCCTAAATTGAGCTTCACCCTTCTTCTTTCCACCATTTCCAGCGCTCTTTTTTGTTGTATCTATCGATGATAAACAACCTTTTACAATATCATTAATGTAGGATTTTCACCACCTATCGTCACAACCACCACCGGAAACCTGCACAACCACCATCATACACCTCCTCTACCACGTCCATTGCTATCAACTACATCAACCATAAAAAATAGAGAAAAAATAAAAAAACACACCGGTTTTAAAAGCTTAAACGCAGAAATTAAACCAAAAAAATCATAAAACAAACCAATTATGGTGCAAACAATCCAGAATTATGGCAAAATCAGAAACACACCACCGTAAGAATCTTGGATAAATCACAAACCGAAATCTATTCAGAATTAGGGCAAAATCAGTTGGAATCTAGGGTTTACTGTGATGGTTTATTTCAAACGGATAAAAGAGAAATCAAATCCCCTATCGGAAATCGAAAAATAACCCCTCACATCTTTCGGAAAATCAACTGATATCGGAGGAATTGAGAATTAAGGCGATGTCGACATTAGAGTAACAGGTTTCTGGCGGCGGTGATTAACGAGGGCTTAAGGTGCATATCGATAGCTTTAAGGCTTCTCTCATCGGCCACTTCGTTATCATCTTCTCTCGCCGACCTCATCGGTGGCTTCAGGTCGGCCGATTTTGCTTCACGATAGCTTGGGTGACAAAAGTTATCTAGGGAAAAAGAAGGGGGGAGGTCTGAGTGATGAAGTGGGGATATTATTATTTTTAACTTTTTTTGTTTAACTTAAAAATGAGAAACAAATAAAAAAAATTAAAAAAAGAAATTATTAAGGGTAAAATAGTCTTTTTATGTCCGGAGGGATGAAGTATGTTAGTTTTAAACAATTGAGGGACGATCCGAGTTAATTTTTGAAAATAGGGACTGAACGTGCATTTTGGCACCTGCACGAGGGACGATTCGTGTAATTTACTTTTTTTTTTGGTCAAGATGCGTTCCAATTATTTCTTTATAATGATTTGCTAAAGCTTTTCAAGTTATTATTTTTTTAAAGGGACTTTTCGTTCTTTAAATATAATAAGGAAATGAAACATGAAATGTGTTATATTGATGTCAATAATTCATGTGTGGGGATCTTGTCATTTAATAAAGCTTAAAAATGGCATTAGTTGGTTTGGAACCTACACCGATGGAGCATGAAAGCGAGTATTTTATACTTTCTTCGTCCCAAAATTATTATAATCCATCTTTCCTTTTTGGTTTGTCCCAAAATAATAGACCACTTCTAAAAATAAATAATATTTTTACCAATGGAACATTAAATGCAAAGTAAGGACAAAACTATCATTTTATTAAATAAAGTTAGTGGTAATTAATGTTTTTCTTAATATGTGTGTTTTTTGTCTGTGGACAATAATATTGTGACGGAGGGAGTACATTTTATTTTGTTTTTGGAGGATGTTTCGATACTTCTCTACCCCAGCAGCAACCTCCATCCTAAAAGGCACCTCAAGGTCGACAGCAACCTAGCTCCTTCCCAAAAGTATTATTTTATTCGTTTTATAGATTTACTTTCTCGTCAACGACCCTAACCACTGCTGATGTTTGGGCAAGCTAAATATTAGTACGTGGACTGCCGCTATTTTCGATAGCTTTAACATCATCACCGAGAAGTTCAACCCCACATGCACATTCAGATATTTCATTAGTAATATAGTCTGAAGTCTTGATGAATTTTTCTCTTGGGATCATGTGAGCATGGAGAGAAGGGAGGACGCGTTGGAATTTACTGCCACTGAAAACGTGATGCAGCAGGGGAAGTTTAGGAGACTCTGGTACATTTGTTTGCAAATTCTAGAAAAAAAAATAGTATATCTATTCCTTTATAATTACAACAGTCATCTAAAGATGCTATATTGATAATATTTTTTATGGATCAAGATAAATGTTGTATTTGTAACTCAGTTTAGATGTTAATTGAAGTTACTATTACTTTCCTATACATTCTCAATATTTTAGCTTATCTTACAAAATAGATTTTGTAATAGATTTTAATCACACTACAAGGAAAAAGATCATTAGCGGCGACAAAAGTCGCTGCTAAAAGGTCAAGTTGTCGCCGGTAATAATAATATGTCGCCGGTAATGAGAATTGTCGTCGCTAATAAGTATGTCGCCGCTAAAAGGTCCTGTCACCGCTAATGACTATGTCGCCGGTAATGATGATGTCGCCGGTAATTATAATTTTCATTTATAATTTTATTTATTTATTTATTTATTTTTTTTAATCAACGATTTTGGTTGCCGGTAATAATGTCGTCGTTAATTACATAACAACATTCGATTAAATATGAAAAATAATAGTGTCGACACTAATTACAAAACAAACATCCAATTAAATATAAAAAGTAATAATGTCGCCGGTAATAATGCCGTTCGGTAATTACATAACATCCGATTACATATAAAATGTAATAATGTCGTCCGGTAATTACAGAAAACAACCAAAAATTTTACAATCTAACAATTGTAGCAAAGCGTGACAACAAGTGTAATATGCAAATAAAACCTCTCCTACATACCATCATCTTCGTTCCCATCGTTTCCTCAATTATTTTGGGATTGAAAAAACGAATAAAGCTCATCCCTACATGCCGGGTCGTTGAGCATTGCACGAAGATTTTCTAACTACATAATTAATAACAACATATATAAACTTATAAGTTAAATTATCAAACATAAACAAAAACTATCAAAGTACATTGATATTTTTAAATTAAGACAAAAACCAAAGTACATGATTTTTGGGCACATGGGACAAAAACCCAATTACCAAAGTTTTTAGCAAATAATCACCACAAACCAAAATTACCAAAACAACATGCATTTTATGATGCTAAAGTACATTGTTATTTTTAAATTAAGACAAAAAGACAAAGTACATTGCTATTTCTTGCACTTGGGACAAAAACCCAATTACCAAAGTTTTTAGCAAATAATCACCACAAACCAAAATTACCAAATCAACATGCATTTTATGATGCTAAAGTAGATTGTTATTTTTAAAGTAAGACAAAAAACCAAAGTACATTGCTATTTCTTGCACTTGTGACAAAAACCCAATTACCAATGTTTTTAGCAAATAATCACCACAAAACCAAAATTACCAAATCAACATGCATTTTATGATGTTAAAGTAGATTGCTATTTTTAAACTAAGACAAAAAACCAAAGTACGTTGCTTTTTCTTGCACTTGGGACAAAAACCTAATTACTAAAGTTTTTAGCAAATAATCACCACAAAACCAAAATTACCAAGTCAACATGCATTTTATGATGCTAAAGTAGATTGCTATTTTTAAACTAAGACAAAAAACCAAAGTACGTTGCTATTTCTTGCACTTGGGACAAAAACCTAATTACCAAATTTTTTAGCAAATAATCACCACAAAACCAAAATTACCAAATCAACATGCATTTTATGATGCTAAAGTAGATTGCTATTTTTAAACTAAGACAAAAAACCAAAGTACGTTGCTATTTCTTGCACTTATGACAAAAACCTCATTACTAAAGTTTTTAGCAAATAATCACCACAAAAAACCAAAGTAGATTGTTTTACCTGTGATGGTTGTGGTGATGGTTGCCAAGGTTGTGGAATCGGCGGAGAGCAAAGTTTTAAAAGGTTACGGCCAATGCCTCTAATATGGCCACGTCTCTCTCCTAATACTTTCTCAAACGCAGCTCTTTCTTGAGCGGGTGTTAACTCACTTTCACCTTGAGTTTGTTCTAACAGCTCTTCAACTAACCGATTCTGTAACTCCCAAAAGTGAGTAACAATTAAGTATAAATAAACATTTAATTATATGATAAAATTATAATTAAATACTTACATATTATTGTTCCGCCTCAGCAGTAATAAACACACCATTCTTATTGGTATGAGCTTTGTGAAACGTTTCCACTCTCTTAAGGTTCTATTTAACTTTAAAAATTAGATTATATTTTAAATAAATAATTACATGTATCGTACGTTACCTTCTTATAGCAAGTACTGCTATACGAGCTCGACCCCCCACGATTCACATTTGTTTGCATTTCACGAACTTTTTTGTTCCTTTCTGAAGCAATTATGTGTTCGTCCATTTGGAAATACTCAACTGCTTTCTTCCGGTTATCAACTTCCATACCCTTTGGAGGGTTGGCTAATGCTCCCGGGATATCTTCATACCCTCCTACTAACTTAAAATATTCTTTTGCGTCAGCTTTACGTTCTCGATAACCTTTTAACAAAGCTGCTTGAAAACTCTCTGTCAACATATTAGATTGTACATCCTGGTACATCTGATCCAAAATAAACTTTGTCTACAAAAAAAAGTTAACCAAGTAAAAACCAGTTATAGTTAACCATATAAAATATTTTTAAATAAATAATTACCGCTAAATGTTGTAATACGATGTCCCTTATTGCAGGGGAAACTTTTTTCCAAGTCCATTTATCAAAAGGGATCTATTTGCCACATTGTTTTCCCAATTTCTCGTGAAAACATGTCTTTCGGCTCTCCTACGGGATTAAATGTGATATCCCTATCATATTCCATGCTAATCGGTTTGCCCTGATTCCGTAAGATCACTTTTTCAAGCTTTATATTTTTGGCTTTGCCTCGAACTTTCCTACGTGCACGTTGCTCAACTACAAATGTAATTAAAAATTATTAGAAACGGTATTTAATTTATAATAACTGAATAAAAATTCATAATAAAAATTCATAATAATACTTACCGTCCTGCTCGTGATGACCAGCACCTCTACCACCTGGGAGAGGTGGGTCCTCAGCTCCATCACCCCCGTGTCCACGACCCATAACAGCTGCCATGGTATATATAAAGAAAAGCCATATTGTCATCATTTCCCTAAAAAAATTAAAGATATACAAATAAATTTTTGTTACAAATACACATTACATAGAAATAAACATTTACATAGGAATAAACATTTCTATTTAAACTAGAAATCCAAATAAAGTTCATATTACAAACACGTATTACATAAGAACTACTCTAATCAGAATATTCCTCATATCCTTCAGTGTCTTCTTCGGTATCATAATCAGAATCGGTCTCATCGTAATCAGTCTCGCAATCAGAAACATCATTGACTCTACCAGTTGGCAGAGGAACTT